TTTTATCCATTAGTGTTCCCCCTTTCTTTAGAAATCCAAAAAGCATGCCGGGGGGGGGGGGGGGGGGGTCGTTTTCTCCCACGTCGCTCCGCATAGGAAGAACGTTTCTGCGGCGGCGGTGTTCGCCATGTTCGCATGTGTCCCAAGTCTTGGTAGTCGCAGGCATGCACCGCCGTTTTATTTGTCTGATATCCTGCTGTGCGTATGCACCAATCTCCTCCACCTGCAGTAATAGTACTGCTATCGGCTCAGGCCATACACCGCGTTCTTAGAGGCAGCCATGCACCAGCCCCGGTAACAACGTATCTACGAAAAACATGGGAAGGAAGCAGTCTGCGCGTCTTCCGTGCACAAAGACCCCGCCAGAGTGCTGTGAAAGTTGATGCGTCGAGCGTAGAAGAAGCACACAACGGCGACGACGACAGACAGCTCTATTCAAGAACATTAGTTAGGCCGGAGTGGGGCAACCATTGTCGCTAGTTGCTGTGCCGCTCCCGGTCTGTTGTGTCGTTATTTCCCCTCTTTGTCTCCCCCGGGTGACAACTTGCTTCACCCCAACGGAAGAGACGGGAATGCAGCAAATGTTTCGTGTTGGTCATCACACTGCTCTTGTGTTTCTTTCAATGAAAATTTTCTATGATATGCGTATGCATAGGAAATATTTCGAGGTACTGACGACACTTGCACGCCAGTTCGGGTGAGGGGGGCGGGAGGGCAGTTGAGTTGCAAGCAACTCGTCGCTGCATGCATACAAGTATGGACGATGGAGTACTGTCTTCCTTCCATGGGTCCTAATTTTTTTCGTGGATGAATGTTGCAGCCCTACCATGTAAAAACCATCCGCGAGTCGTATAGTCGTATAGGGGGACAACAACAGCAGTGCACCAAGTAGGGTCGTGTTACAACCATCTTTCGTGGAGCCACTGGGTGCTCTCGCCCTGTCAATCCCATGTTATCCGTGGATGCTTTCCGCTCATGGTCTCACGCCCCCCTGCAAAAGCCGTGTCGTTTGAGGTACGAATCGCGTCCTCCGCGTTGCCCCTGGAGCTGGATGGTCGTGACTTGTCCTCCCCTGAGTCATTGTAGGACGGCTCCCCTCCACTAAACCACACATTTTTCAACACCGAAAACCACGTGTGTCCTTCGCCAACGTGCGTATTCTTTGTGAATTTCGTACAAAGGTGGAAACAAGTCCCGAGAATTGGGGTATGCCTAGGCTTTGATTGCGGAATCGCCGTACAGCGAGAGCGAGGAAGGTTTGAGGCAGACTTATTCCCCCGTCCGTACTCGAGGTTTTCGTGTCATCCTCCGACAGCACGAGATCATGAAAAAATTCAGTCGAAATTTACAGGTTACGCCTTTCTTTTGACACCCGAGGATAGGATTTGCTACATGGAGCGAACGTTCCGCACCGCGAACATCGATCAACCGCGGCCAATCGCTCGTCGATTTATTTAATTTGAACGCGTTTTCCCACGCCTTTCTATCGCTTTGATACATACTCTCCTGTTGTTTCTGATCGTGGTTTGGCCTCAGACCCCGCCAGTGCTGCTGTCGATTGGAGTTGCGCCGGCATGTCCGACCTCGCCTCCATGACCCCTTCCCTCCCGTTGGCGAAGAGGAGATGTTGGGACTTGATCATCACTGGCGCCTGCACCAACGGTGAGCGCGACATGTGCAATCTCACCGCCTGCTTTTCTCGACATGTTTCCAATACGCATGTAATTTCATTCGTTCCGCATCGTTGCCCGCAAGCTAGTAAGCGCCATGCGTATTGTACTGCGCCTTTGGGGGACTTCGCGCAAGAGCTTAAGGGAGTTCCAAGTGTAGCCCGAGATATCTCTTCCGCCCGAGGCAACTCCAAGAAAGAAACACCTACACGGGGCCTCGTCTTTATTGCATCCGACCAATGCGCTCTCTTGAATTGTCGCTGACGCTCGGACGCGTGCGTCTGACTCGCAAACCCGGCCTCCGTCAAACGAACCTCAACAACAGCCGACGAAGACGTCAAGGTGCTGGCTTCCTTCCGAAAGAGGTACACGTCCGCGCGGAAGGTCGAGTTCAAGCCAACGCCTGCCACCACCAACGCCGTCGCCGTCAACACCACGGCTACGACCACGCTCAACCATACCACCGACACCGGCGTCGCGGAAACGGCCAACCGCGGCCACGACGACCGTTTCACGACCAACACCAAGAGGAGAAGAGTGTGCATCCAGGTCGAGTTCTCCGGCCCGCAGCCCATCAAGGGCCCCGCCGAGCTGATGTGCAGCCTCCTGTCGGGGTCCTCCGTCTCCGCCCTGCCGGTGTTCCTGACCCGCGGCCGCCGCAGGAAGAAGAGCCGGACGAGCTGCGCCTCGGACGAGAGAGCCGAGGAAGAAGCTGCGGGTGAGCGTTGCGGATGGATGCACTATTATTTGGAATTGGAAAGTTAATCCGTTGGACTATGCACTCTGCAGTACTCGCTGAGGTCATTGAGTAGTCTCATGGATCGGCCTTTACAGTCCTTTAGACTACTCATTGGTTTGCAGTCCATTAGACATTGCTCATTGACTAGTCTAATGGATTAATTCGCCTTCATTCAACATACATAACAAGGAAGCCAGGATTGCAAAGAGCCCATCGGAGTTCCTTGAGTTCGCGGTTTGGCCACTTACGAGCGAATGCTTGTGTTTTGTGTGAAGCTTCGGTAGCGGTGTTGTGTCGCGCGGCAAGTTTGCCCGGGGATCGGGTTGGTTTTGGCGCAGTGCTTTTTTTGAAGATGCTCAGACATCCGCATGAGGCTGATATGTTGCCCGGCTCTTTAGTTGGCGCGGCTCAATGACTCGGTAGCTCGGTAGGGACTAAACACGTCGAATCTTGTATGATCAGTACGCATGATGAGCAACAGTGGCAGACGAACGCCAGCGATAAGGTAGAAAAGGCGAGACACACGGCCGCTTTTGTGTCGTTTCCCACCCCCTCGTTGACCCCCTTGCTCCCTTGCTTGTGCGCGCTTCATGATCATGCCGCGGTTGTACTGAGCAGTCACGGACCACGTCGACCCGACGAGCGACACGCTTGTGGAGAGCGCCCTCGACCGCAACGACAACTGTGGCGATGGAGAAGCTCATGTACGTTATCCCGCCGCGCGGCCGTCTTGTATCTGGCTCACTTTACACCGGCTCAGTGTGGTGTGATCATCGGCGTGTGATTGGCAGGCCAGCGTGTTCTCCAGCAATGTTTTGTTCGTCACCGAAGTAGTAGTTCTTCAACGGTCGCCGAACCGGAGCGAGTCTTGTTCATGACTACAACAACCTGGTTGCAGCGCTTGACTTGGACTTTGTAAGCAGTGCCTTGGGAGGCGATCAGTTGATCGGTTTTGACGTGCGAATTTTGCGAGGTCGCTTCGGACAGGGTGCACGCTGTTGAGGGATCTGTCGCAACACGAAAACAACCTCAATAGAGACAAACGTTTCCCAGGCAAAAACTGGATATGTCCTGCCCAAAGCCAATCTTTTTCAGGAAAACAAAAGGTAAATGGCAAGAACCGTGTCCTCCCCCAACCAAAAAAGTAAATACGCATGAAGAACTACTTGGAAGTAGAACACAAGAGTTTTTTTTCAGTTTTTTGTAGTTTCTCTCTTTAGCTCTTCGGCCCCTTCAAAAAAGACCAAGAAGACCCTTCTGGGGCCACCGGTGCAGGCCTTGGGGGATACATACGATGGCCGCCATGAACAGTCGTCCTTTATAAGCATAAGGTTTCCGAGACACTTACGAGTCATGCAAGAGTCCAGCGTCCAGGCATCGCAGCAGCTGGTCGTGGGCCACGTCTCTCTCCCTCCGAATCTTGCGTACGCTTTCGAGGGGTCAACACAAACATGTTGTGCATTTTATAGATGGGCGTCGATACAAACCTCCATTGATCTTCATTCTGACGAAACTTTGCCTTCCTCGTCCTGTGGCAGGCGACCCTCATGAGGGTGGAAGGAGAAGAAACTGCGGTGGCCGCGGCGGCGGCGACGCTTTCCGGACCCGCAGGGCAAAAACCACCACTCCCCCCTCAGGCTCTTTCCGTGGCTGCGGACGACCTCATCAAGTGGAACGATTTGATTCCCCACTTGGACGGAGACACACCGCCCAGGCGGCGGTCGACCCAAGACCTGTCGTCCATGTCCCCTTCGTCGTCCGTGGGAGGGTTCAGCTCGAGCGCCACCCTCTTGTCCGACGGCGACGAGTACAGCTGCGACGCCAACATGTCGTCCCGCGAGTCCGCCGCTCAGCTCTTCGAAGACGCGGACAAGGCCATAGCGGAGTGCTACTTCGCCCCCGTGGACACGGGCGGGATGCCGGACCTCGCCGGGGAAGCTTTCCCCGTGGACTTCGATACCGACGTAAAACCCGAGCTGTCCGAGGTTCCTTCGCGGGTCGACGAAGGTGATGGCGGCGGCTACGTCAACGCCTCAATCAACAGCTGCAGCACGAAGATTGAGCGGAATCCCGCATCGTCGCCTGTGCACACGAGAACCGAGGGCCCTGTCTTCGACGTTGCCGGCAAGGCTAGCCCAGCTTCGGCCGATTCCGCGGCAGCGAAGCAAGGGGAGGAGGAGGAGGAGTCGTGGGAGTGGTTTGATTCTGAGGGGAACGCTCGGGGTAGCCAAGAGGGAGACGTCGCCTTCGGCTGGCTGAGACAGGTGTGCGGGCTTTTCGTGTGTTGGTTGTTTCCTGACCGACGGTCTTGGGTGTTGTTGTTGGCGTTGTTGCCGCTACGGTTGCGGTTCCTTTTTTTTGTTTTACCTTTTCTTGGCAGAAAATCCGGGCTCGTTTCATCGCACGCCTCGGCCCCGCCCAGAGAAAGAGAGTCGATACAGCCGTCCCACGAAGCACAAGCGCTACACCTTGGGATATATACATATGATCTTTTCAGCGGAAGACCACCCTCGTCTCCAACAATTTCCCCAGCAGGAGTGCGACTTCGATGGTGGTTCGGCCGCTGCTGCGCCGGCGTCAAGTGCGACTTCGGTTTCGGCCGACGGCGTGTGTGCCAGCAGTAGTAGCACCAAGAAGCCGTGTCGCCTGCGCTTCAAGGGGATCGAAGGCGTGGACTACGGGATACGGGATCTCTCGGTCACTGCCCAGTTTTCTGTAGGACCGCTGGGAAACTTGGTGGGAACAGCCCCAACAAAACTTGAGGTACGGTCCACATGAATGGGCTAACACTTGCAAGTATTGATCTGGACCACGGATCGTTTTTTTTGTGGTGGTGTGGGTCGGCTAAAAAAATAATTTTCGTGCCTGCGAATCATCGCTAAATTCCATTGGACCTACAGTACCAGCGGGTTACTGTTGTGCGCACACTACACTCTATACGGGAGTGCGCTAGTTTGTGAAATCGATGCGCGGAAGCGTGCGTGCGGCAACAACGGTTTCGCCTTGTAGCCGTGCATGCTGTGGCTGTAGTCCTTACGGTCAGTACACGTGCAGTTGGGCTCTGAAAACGTGGTGGCAGCCAGTGTTGTTTGCCTTTCTTTGCCTCTGCTGCCAACACCGGTTGGTGTTACCCTTCGTCTCTCGCTCAAGGTGCATCAAACCGTTGACCGTCCCGAGCATTGGGCCAAGTAGATACAACAATTCATGTTCTCCGAAATAAGCACTTTTACTGTCTTAGACGGGTTGTAGTCGTGCTCTAGACCAACGGTGTTTTGTTTCGTGTGATTGGCTGCAGCACCTCCCCGCACACAGGGCGTGCTGACCTTCTCTTTGTGCTCCCCTGCGCTCGTTCGGCTTTCCTGCTGCGTGCCCCAGGCCGATCGTAACGCCTGCGCTGGGTTTTCGAGCTGCACGATGACGTACCCCAGCATGGACGATGTCTGGCCGGAGGTATACAGCGCGCACTCGGTGAAGGTGGTGGAGGTGCGACCGCCATTTTGTTGTCTTGACGTTTTTTTTTTTTTTTCCCGTACGGATGTGGACGCCTCCCGTGGTCACAGGCTACACCCCGAAGCCCGCCTATTACACCCTGGCGCATTAGTTCCAAAGGTTAGGTTGCGTGGAGATAATTGCTCGGTGACTTTTGCCTGATGATCACTGCACAGCGTCGGCCCTAAACGCCTGTAGTACTGCTCGGTGCCACGCCCGCGCCCCTCTGCCGATATCGCAGGTGGACATGACAGTGGACGTTCGATCAAGCGACGGGAAGTGGGTGTACAGCTGGCCCCCCGTTAAGGTAGGAGGTCGAGCTGCGGCACGGTAACGCCAGTCACCAAATTCTCGTGAAAACAGTGATGATTTTCCGACAGCGTTTGTGGACGATACAGACGTCGTTGCTCTCGAGGAGTGGAGACAAGAAGGTACTTCGGCACATAATATGCATGCTTCGTACGGTAGAAATGCGAGTCATCGCAGGCATCGTAATACACCGAAACCAAGAGATTGCCTTAGCCGAAAAGCGTGGTCGGTGTGTCTGTCCTCCACCGATGGCCTCCGCCCCCCTTGTTGGGAAAGGAGTGCGTCTTCTCCGCGTGGGATTCATCTGCAGGAAATTTCTACGGCGCTTTTGACTCTTCATAAGTCCCCTCCTTGCATCGCGTGGATTGGTAAGCGTTTGTGACGTTGTCGGCTCGAGGCATGCCACCGGCTTGCCTTCGCTTTCCCGCCAGGTGGATCAGAGGCTCCAATTTCCATCATCTGCAGGGGTTTGACAACCGCGCTGACTTTCTTGCTGGCATTTTTTTTTTTTCTTCTCAATCTCAAGGTGATGTATCGGCGTGCGAGAACGGCGACCACCCCGCAGGTCCAACGATGCGTTAAAATTCCTCCGTTCCACGCCCTCCCGGACCCGTTCGACCGAAGACCGCGCGCCCTAGAACCGGCGAGCTTCGTGGGAGCGGGGAGTTCCCACAGCATGCTGATACGTGAGGCGCTTCACCGACCGTCGTCACCGATCTCCAAAGAGATGGACGGGCCCCCCGAAGAAAGCTTCGCCGCGTTGTTGATCTGATTCTTTTTTTCTTTTTTTGTTACACAACCACTCGACCCAATTCGTTTTTGTCCAGTCCGGGATAAGTTAGTGGTGAATCAATCGTACGGCCACAATACCCTGTTTTTCTATGACCCCCCTTCCCCTTGATTCTTGTTTGGAGTGGCGCGGCCGAAGAGAGAGAGAGAGGTCGCGCGGGTACCTGTAGCAGTCCTGGTGACGGCCGTCTGAGCCGCGATCCCCCCTCAGGATACTGGCTGTATACCGTAGGTTTTGATTACCTGCAATGTGTATAAATATGTCGTCGTTTTCGTCTGGCAGACTTCCGTGGGAGCAAGCCTCGTGGGTTTCAATGTAATAGTGGCGTATGTATGGCACCAACGAGGGGATAACCATAAGTTGGTGTCACACTGTAGGTAGGTGGTTATTTAGTGTAGCTTTTTACGACTGTGTTTTGGGGAGATTTTGTTTAACGGTGAGTGCGGGAGCTGATGCGCTGATGCGCCATGCTTCCGTCGGAGTAGCCTTTGGCGAAGGCCTGACTGGCTGTTGGGTGCCCGGGTATCCGACCACTTGACTCAAGGTTGAGCCAGTACTCTCCTTCAATGTACGAAATAGTAGGGCGTACATCTGATTTAGAGGCGGTTTTCCTCTTCGGTATAGACGATATCTTTCTGGTGTTTTATTTGTCTCGTCTGGTTCGTCTACCATGTCAATATTGCTGTTGCGTTTGGAGGTGATTGACCGCGTGTCGGCTGTTGGTTCTGTGCCAAAGATTGACCGTCCGTTGCCGGCTTAGTTTTTAACTGCAGAAGGCGCTACCACTTAGCATAGGAACCTCTCATTCTGCCACAACAAGGGCGTCGTTACTGAACTCCTTCTGCTACGGTGGGCGTCTTATGTTTCGATCTTTTGAGCCTGGATTTCGTAGCCCCCATGTTCTAAATTGGTGACGCCTTTTGTATTGTGCTTTTTTGATGTTGATGGAGCTGTGGTGTCTGTTTTGGAAGGACATGGTATGTTCTCCTGAATGTGCATCGGCAGCTATCTGATGTCTGTGGAGATTATAGTGTGGCGTACTTGCGAAGTATTGCCGTCTGGTTCGGTTCCTGCCTAAGATTTGGCGTTACGGGCATGAATCGAATGTTTTTAATATTGATTTGTATCGACTTGGTTCTCAACATGTTTTGGTGAGATTTGTCCTCTCTGTGTTGGTTTGTGTGTTGGAGTATATCGCGTTCCTTTATATTTCACCCCCCAGGGTCGGGTTGCAGTAATCTAAACGATGTCCCGGAGTAGCGTTAGCGCCCGCATTCGAGCACCTCAAACTTCTGCCGAGGCTCCTCGATGATTCTTCTTCTCTCTATATGGGGTACCCCACCATCGACTTTTACGTGGGTGTTGAGTGTAGGATTCTTGACTGAGCGCCTGTTCTTAAGGCCAATTTTCTGGGAATTTTTATTTTCGTTTTTTTTTTCGCCTGTGAGTCTCTTACCTCTCTCAGGTTCTTGAGCTCGGGCACTGGGCACGCACACCTCTTGTTTCGGGGTTTTACGTTGCGTGAATGACGCGGGTTCGTTCCATGGAAGGAACCGGGCAGTTGGTCCGTTGATGAATAGTTGTGTTCGCCGTGACGGCTTCTGATGCTAGGTTTTAAGATCAGCACCAAGCAAGGCGTGGCACGACCGGTCGCATGCGGCGCGCCCATTTCTGCCAGCCGTAAGTGAGGTATATGACAGGAGCATAAAAATAGGAGAAAGAAGAGAGGGCGTAGAGCGCAAGTAGGCCGCACGGCGTGGAAAATATGAACGTCGGGCCTGAAACGACTGTGTACACGATTGAAGTACGTGTCAGCTTTTCTTTTGTACACGCGATATGGTCGAGATCGCAGGGGGTTATGAAGAGAGAAAGTGGTGTCGGCGGTATGAAATGAAATGAAGCGTAATAACCGATGGTTGATGTTCATGAATTCTCCTGTCTCTGTTCAGTGGGGAGGGAAGAAGGCATGACGACATGTCATGCCCGTCGAAAGTGAGGCAGAAGTTGACGCCACAACCAACCGTGCAGGTCGTGGGTCCAAACTGCTTGGCTCCCAAAATGTGCCTATTAGAGGGGGGCGGGGTGTACTCATAGTCGTGCATGCCGTAAATTTACTAATACATTCAATCATGAGATTTTCGTGCATGTCGCACACACACGCCATGTCACAACACGTAGCGTAGCGGTAGAATACACCCTGATATTAGTAAGACGCCGGTTCGAATCCCCCCCTACTCGTGGCTTCTTCCTTGACAAGACTTCTGCGGTAGTGAACACGGACGGGCGAAGTCTCGTGCACCGCGACCGCAGGGTGGAAGAAGGTGAAAACCCTCACACATGTTTTTTTTTCCTCGACCCTTTTTTATCTCCCTCCCCCTCTTCACACCCACCCTCGCATGATGACCGCTTTCACAACCCGGGCACGTTATGCCGGCTCGGCCTGTCACCCCCCTACGTTATTATCCCATGTAATAACCACTCGTTGGCCGGAGGTTACTCAATGCCCCCGTACAACGGTGCCCACTGGCCACCTGTGCGACGAAAGACACACACTGACCTATTTCCGTGCAATCGAACGACTGTACCGAGTGCGATGAGCAGTGATGAAGATGCTACTGGCTGCTCTGCTGTAGCAGTTGTAGGGTCAGAGAAAATGCTTCCTTGTGGATCTCTTTTATGGTCTTATTATTCTTTTAGTCAAGCTAAAGATGGGTACCTTGGTTTTTGAGCGGGGGTGGCGAGCCCGTTCGCCCTGGCAGAGGCACGGCAAGCTGCGGCCAACACTTCTCTCTGGGTGCACTTACTTGCGGGACGATCAATCAATGTCCCGAACCGTAACATGTCTTCACAGCAGCAGCAGTAGCCGTCTCTTCCAATATTCGTTGATAATAGTAAAATTTATCGGCTACCCACGGTATCATTTTGTATCAGTCAGGCTCTGCCATTATGATGCCGTACTCAGTGCCTCAGCGGTATGCGCCCGGCTTCGATGACGTGCACTGACTGTAAGTGTTGTCACTTTCCACTGTCATGTCGTCGTCGCGAGAGGGTGAGAAACTCTACTACTTTTCCTTTGTTTCTGTATTCGTTTAGTCTACCCCTTGTTCCAAAGAAGAGGTTCTCGGAAACCTCGTCCGGCGGACGTTGTACCTCTGCACCCCAAGAGCGTCAATGTCGCTACAGTGATACTGAAGGTTTTTCAGTACATCCTGCCGCGAAAAAGGGGAATCACTAGATAGATGTCGTTTTTTGGTCCGCACCTGATCGATCGGTGACCAGCTCCGATTCGGCGAAAACAGCAGAAATCCGATGCCCTCAACGGCAATTATTGTAATATGCAATCACTCGCTCTCCGGGTATGTGTAGGTGTGTGGAGGCATGGATGGATACCTGAGGAAGCACTCCATCAATCTTCGAAGTCTGACCTCAAACTCAGTTGGTTCAAGGTTGTCAACGTTGCCGATCAGCCGACTGAATCAAGCTTCTTAGTGGAGATGACTGCAAAAAAACCATTTCGCGGCCGCCCGGCGAGTGATCCCGGTCAGCTAAACCCAGCCATCGTTCTTTTTTGAAGCCACACAGCAGTGAGTTCAAAAGAAGCGAAAATGTTATATTAATATGTGTTGTTTTTATTAATTATTATTTTTTGGGTTTTGGTAGAGTGAGCACCACGGAGCGACAAAGAAAAAACAATGATAGCAAGAGAATGCGGCATATATATATATAATATGTGATAACAAGACGAGTCGGAGAAAACAGTCGAACTCTTTCCTCACAGCCAATGGGGACGGATGATCGCCCAAAGATGAGCGACCGCATCTGCCGCGGTGTGATGATGCCGCATTGACTGCAGCTGGCTCTTGGGAGAAGACGAAAGTATATGGGGATTGTGTGTGTACCCCATTACGTAGCAGCAGAAGCTGACGCCCACCGACGCCATATAATAGTCGGTGTGACAGCTCGTGGAGCTTGTAGCAACAGAAGCACAGCAGCTTCAGTGCAGAAGAAGATGGAGAGATGTTGTAAACACGGCGCTTAGGTGGCCAACACAGACAGATACAACAGACAGACGGTTGTAGTCCAGGCAGTATGCCAGCAGCATCCAAGGTACGACAAGGACAGCTAGAGTACCCAGACAGTCCGATAGATCACAGAGAGAGATCCCAAAGAGTGAGGTCGTGCACCGAACGACAGAACGAACGAGCTACAAACTAAGTACAGCTCTTCGTTCCTCCGCATACGTTACGTTCCAACCGATACATAGATAACCCATACGTCATTCGTCTACATAATAAGCAGTAGTACTGAACATTGACTAAGACAGGACATGCGTAGGCATTTCCACAAGAGGAAGTCCAAGAAGTCGGCCAAAAGGCAGGCACGCCTCCATCCAATGCAGCCACCCCTACATCATGTTTTTTTCTTCGTCCGTAACATTTCCTATTAATTCATCTCGCAGAGTCCTGTACAAGCACTACTTCATTCATTCGTGCATGCTCAATCAAGCCATCTATCCTTCCCGGAGCTTCCGATGCAATTGCCTGATTTCACTGCAACACAAATCTCTCACAGGGAAAACGATCGATGCAGCAAAAATGTGGGGCTGCGCAACCAGTGGTTTTCAGGATCGATCCACCAACTTGTTGCGTGCCTCACAGATGCACCTGAGTCCTTCCTCAAACGAACGAATGTTACCATTCATTCTGTTCATCAACCCCTCCCCCCCCTCTAACCGGTGTTTGCCATCGGGGTTGGGTTTTCGTCGCTTGGCAACGTCGTTGTAAAAGAAGCCCCCCTCTCGGTGTTTGCCATCGGGATTGGGTTTTCGTCACTTGGCAACGACGTTGTAAAAGAAGCCAATTCACTTCGTGAACTCGGCAACCAGGTTACCGTTTTTTTTTACCTCTGTTTTTTTTTTTTTGCGGTAACCATAATGGTGGTCGAGTAGATCATGTTGTGCGGGGTGGAGAAACCTCACTCCGCGCAAGGGGATGATTGCACCACGTTCTGTTAAAATGGTCAAGCATCCTCGAGGCAGCTACACAGTGCTTATACTGTCTCTGGAAGTGAACGCACCAGAAAATAAATTAAGTCATACGCAGCTGTCATCCGTACGCAAGGAAGTAAGCACAAGATGCCGAACACCCTTAGCAGGATGCAGCTCACCCTTCATGCGACTCACCGAATACCTCACGGTGCTTCGCGCTTGGTGTGAGAGCCTGGTCCGGTGAGAACCCGGCGTGCTCCGTCCCGGCTTTGTAGGGATGCGAGGTCAATGGTCTAACAACTAAATATAGTGGGGGGCTGAAAAAATTGTGTGGCACAACACCGCCCACGACGCGGCCGATAAGCGCACACTTTGCCGTCCCCCCCACCAAAAAGCAGAAACTCCGAATATTGTCGTCTTCCATTGCCAATCGTTTAATGGGAAGTTTTTGGTCAGTTAAGTTTTATGTTCCACAACAACAACATACCGTAAACGTCGGAGTTTTCCCCCCGGGGAGAGGGGATCGTTTTTTTTTCTGAAACCAACCCCCCCGGGGGGAAATTGACGTACCGGGGGGGGTTAGTTTTTTGTGTTCCAACGCTACCCCGAGGGGAACCCCCCCCTCGGGGAGTTGTGCAAAATAATGATGGTCTACACACCAAACACACACAGAGTGGCGAAACTGAGATGGATAAGGTTCTACGAGCAAGCGTTCAACAAACAGAGGGAGGAGGAACGTATGAGCAACGAATGCGAAGAGAAAAAAGACAGCAAAGGAGGACAGCAGCAGAGGGAGTTTGTCTCGTCACGAAAAGGAAGGGCCCGCCTCCCTGTGACAAACGGTACCCCTAAGTCTCGCTCGAAGCGCACATCTGCAACAATATTTTCCGTCCAATATCGTGCTTTTCGTGCTCCGCGATGCAACAAAATCGACTCAGAAAATTAGAGAAATACATCCCCCCGGGGGGGGACCCGTGGGAAAACTGGTACCCCGGGGGGAGATTGAAAGACCCGGGGGGATATTTTTTTTTTGTTCAAAAACGATCTACCTCGGGGCTAAATCCTAGAAACCATGCTTCCAGGCCGAAAAGGTAGTGGGGGGGCGTACTCTTATGTTTTGCATGCCTTATCGGTTAGACCATTGACCACGCGTCCTCGAGAGGACGGAGCATTATTCCCACAGGACCGATCACCGATGGCCAATCGTTCCTTCCTACTTTGCCAAAGGTGGCTCAAAAATGTCTTCCCTAGTCTGTCTATCCTAACGACATCCCTTCCCGCCTTTTCAAACCACTTCCTACTCCCCAGTACAGCTACCGTCCTCTCCTCTCTATTCCATGCCTCAAACATCTCCCTGTACGTCCCTTGTATTTTTCCCAGCTCAGTCATGTACACTTCCCTCTCCTCTTCGTACCACGGACATTCCGCGACTACATGAACACGGTCTTCGCATTCGAAGCCGCAATCACATTTGAACTTGTCGTCTTAGTCGTCTACCGTCCTATGTCTTCGTCGACGTTCTCGAAGGCCTATGTCCCCGGTCCTGAATTTGACCTTAAGCTTTGTCCCTGCATCCATTGGTCCATGTAGGTAATCCTTGAACCCTATTACTTCTTTCAACATTCCGTACACTTCTAGACCCTCCTTATCCTTGGTTTCTTTCCTTAGATTATGTTCTTCCCTTTCGGCACAAGCAACAGATATCTTCTCCTTGAACCCCTGTAGACCCT